CTCTTTAGGCCATCGTACCTTATCCCCCATGCTTCTTAAAACAGCGACCAACTCGGAGGTACTTATGTTAAAATTATAATCCCCAATCCTTGCGTTTGTATTAGCAGCTCTGTTGCGTTCACCTTGATCTTTGCTAAATCTCAACGATAACAAACCTGAATCTCTATTTGCAAACCTGTGATCAGCCCGCACGTTTTCGAATTTGGAACGAGCTTCTCACCCCGAAGGTCCCATATAAGGCTCGTACCTATTCTTACCGGACCTCTTCTCAGATTCCGACCGCCTCGAACCTATTTTTTCTTTAACCCTTGACTGAGCTACGATATCTTCTTCGATTCATAATTTGGTAATGTACTNATGTACCTATTATAGACATCATTCCATATCGTGGCAGGGAATTCTCGTAGGCTCTCTTTAAGCCTCCTCGTAGCTTCTGAACTTTTCTCGTTTAAATTGCTTGCAAATGCCATGGCTGCCCAATTGTCGGGTACTCTTGGTAGCAACATTCTTTCACGTTGGAATCTTTCTACGAATTCTCGAAGCAATTCTGTATCTCCTTGCTTTACTTTGAATATATCCTCCATTCTCTTTTCAACTTTTTGTGCACCCGAGTGTGCTTTTATAAATAGATCTACAAGCTCAGCAAAAGAGTCAATAGAATTTTCAGGTAAAAGAGAGTACCATGTTAACGCTCCTTTAGTAAGTGTTTCCCCAAACTTTTTGACCAGCACAGATTCCATCTCCTGTTTGGTTAAATCATTGCCTTTTACTCCCGTGGTAAATGCAGTAACGTGGTCACGTGGATCGGTCGTTCCACCGTATTTTGGGATGTCAGGCATTTTGATTTTTTTGGGAATTGGTAATGGAGTTGCGCTTGGTTTCCATGGTTGTTGTGAATATTTGTCGAAATCAACTCCTTTGATCACAGGTGGTACGCCGGGTATTTGCTCAATACGGTCGTTTTGTTCTTTCACATGTTTCTACAAGGTTAGTATTAAAGTTTGTAAATCAGAATTATTAGGCGTACCTAGTCTCCCATCAAGTGACTCGTTGGGAGTTCCTCCGCTTCCAAAATTAACCAACCCTGACCGTGGAATTTCCACAGTTGTAGTATTGTTTGGTGAAGGTGTGGGTGGCACAGCTGGTACTCCCCTCACGAAAGCCTGGAGAGCATCATTCACGTACTCAGCAATTAACTGCTTCACAGCATCCTGCTCGACAGTTTGTTCATTTCCATGTTGATCATTGTTATGAGTAGTGGATCTTTCTGGTGATGCTTCTCTTGAATTGCGTGGGGTTTCCTGAGGTGATGGAACTGGAGTTCCTTCCACCTATTGGTTATTGTCATTGACATTCGACATGATTCAATTGAGATAGAGTGATTTGGAAAGTAAGAGAAAATTATCAGATTCACGGTAACGGAACCAATTTGTTTAACCAAAGAATTTGATTCTCAGTCAAAGCCTATTTTTAGAAGTACTCGGATTACTGATAATCAAGAAATTTAATATTCTCTCAGAAATAAGAAAGAAAATTAGAATAAGAAATGATAAAATAATCGATTGAGAGCACAAGAAAGTAGTTATATTCCAATAATAATCAGGGCCTGTCTTTACAAGTGAAATTCCCTTCCCTTATATAGGAATTTACAAATATAACGTTTCTTCCCTTTTATGACCGAATCATTATGAGCATTAATGACATTAATAAAATGTTATAATTGGCAACCGTAACTGTTTATGAAGATTCTGTAACGGTTCCGATTCTTCTTCCACATTAATTAGAGGTTCATGAATCTTCCCTCTTTACTGTCTTAATTCATCCTGCCTGTGTCTCTTCACTGAGTAATTTAGGCTCGAGTAACCGTACCCTTTCGCCTCATGAGTGATTTGTTCGTACCTGTTGTACATTGTGAATCTTTTAATGCGACACTCCAGTTGTCATCTTCTTAGTGATCCACCTATCTTGCCATGTCATTCTCAAATAATTCCACGTGTAACATTTATTTTTTACCAATACAATATCATGATTAGTAATATTATCACCACATAATTTCAATTGGGAAATAATTCAGAACATAGCAGAATTATACTCACTAATAGATTTAAAATCTTATAGCCTTAGATGAGTCCAATCATAATGTGCCTGTGGAAGAACGACCATCTTTGGGTGGTCATATCTATCTTTCAAATTATTCCGCAGTATGATTGGATCTTTAATAGTGAGATATTTCATTTTCAAGCCTTCATCAAGGTGATAGCGTAGGAATATCATTGCTTAGGCACGGTCTTGATTTGATGCCTGATTTTTGTCCTTAATGGTGTCTGCCAAATCCATCGCATCAAGATGAATTTCAGCATCAAGCACCCAAGACATGTAACTTTTGCCTAATATATCCAGGGCTACAAATTCAAGTTTAGAAAGATTTGGCATCATTTAGAAAAAGAAAGTTCGTACCTCTATACTTTCAAAGTATTTACTCGAGCTAGCAGAGTCTCGTGCTGATAACGTGTTATAAAATAAAGACAAGTATAGAGAGAAACTGATATATTATTCAACTTCAAACTGATGTACATAATGAACTGAAAACTCATCTATCTATAGAAGAAAGGAAGCAGCTGCGAGGCTTTTCTTGAACGGCTTGTAAGTTGTCTGCATGAGCTACTTGCAACTTGTCTGTTTAATAAGAAACTGCTGCAAATCATTTCATTGAGTTGCTTGCAACCTGCATGCATCAGCTACTTGTAGATAAACTTCAATAGAGTACCAAACAGATAATCTTCTTCAGGAAGATTATGTATAGCGGAGTAATAAATGGACATCCACATTATAATTATTTTCATAACAGAATTATAGCTTGTTTGGCCAAGTTGGAAAAATCAGCTTATTTTGAAAAATATTTTTTTTCAAAATTATTTTTGAAAAAATTACTTTTGGAAAGAAGTAATTTGCGTTTGGCTAATCACTCGAAAAAGCACTTTTGAGCAAGAATTTGTGTTTGGCCAAACTTTTCAAAAAGTGCTTTTAAGTATCAAATTACAAATAAGGACATGACTAGATTTACTTAATAGTTAATACTATAAGTAAATAAATAATCTCAAAATTTTGTTATTACAAGCAATAATTAAATTTTTTTATTTTATTTAAGTAAAATATGAAAATAAAATTAAAAAGTACTTTAATTCTTTTAATATTATTCAAATATATTAAAAGTCATTCAACAAATATAAAAACATTCACCCCTAAAGTCACTATATATTAGAAAACTATCCTAAAAATAAGAATAAATATTATACATTAATATTCTAAGTATTAGGTTTAACGATTATTTTAGTATATATTATATTTTGTTAAGGGTATTTTTGGTAAGAAGAAAAGTCAAAATTGTTTCTGCTTCTGCTTTTGGGAAGAAGCTATTTTTCTCTGTTTTTTCTCAAAAGTAATTTTTTTCCCCAAAAAAGTTTGGCCAAACAACTTAAAGTTAAAAAAAAGTGCTTTTAAAAATAAAATAAAAAAAAAAACTTTTGGCCTTCGAAGAAGGTTGGCCAAACATGTTATTAATATACTCTTTAGGTAGCTATTTTGAGAATTGATTGTTTGGGGCTCATTTATTCTGGACAAGTGAGGAGTTGGGCGACGGGTATCCGGGTTAAGAATCGAAGGCTAACAGAAACGCCAGCAAACGAGAAAAAGTGAAAAAATCAAATCTTTGAAAGAGAAAGAGAGAATCAAATAAAAAATGGGGGATTACCATTTCGTGTACAAGGATGTGGAAGGAGCATCAACACAGTGGGATGATATTCAGAGGAAGCTCGGAAATCTCCCTCCAAAACCCCCCGCTTTCAAGCCCGCCCCTTTTACTCCTTCTGAGGATCAAAATTCCAATTCCAAATCCAAAGACAAAGATTGGATCGATGATAAAACCCAAGATGAGCTTGACGATCTCGAAGATGACCCCGATCTCAATGACGATCGCTTCCTCCAGGAATACAGGTCCCTTTTTTCTTCCTCCCAATTTTCCTTTAATTCAATATACACACTTCATATAGTCCAATTGAGGGGTATTAGCAATTAATTGTGCGCTCCTAGTAGATCAGAGCCGATATAGTATTTGAATTTTATGGGTTCAGGAGGTCGCTGATTATTTGAATTACTGGGTCCCAAAATTAAATATTTGTACATATTTAGTAGATTTTGTAACTCATATACAGGACTTGAGCCAAAGCTACAGCTTTAATTGTACACCCACCTCTGGATGAGACATAGATTAAATCAAGTCAAGATCCTTCTTTTATTGAGTTTGTTAGTGTTCAAAATTGTTTCTTTACATCTTTTTCCTGATTTTCTTAGCAGACACAGACTAATCAAACCTTAGGATTTGTTGGGGTTATAGAAAGTGTCAGGAGCTTCAGTGCCATTTATAAAACGCTGAGTTATTACCTAGTACAAACTGTGGTCTTTTTCCTTTGTATCACAAAACTAAGTACCGAAATGTGGCTGTAGATGAATGAGGTAGCTGTGGCCTTAGCAGCTGCAAAGCTGATGTAATCATAAAAGAAGCATCTGTGCTGGCTTCTCATCCTAAGCTACAAATTAAGATGGGAAATAGGATATTTGTTCATGCGTCACCAGTTTAAGGCTATACAGAGATTGTTTGAACCTTTGGAATGGCATTTACTCCCTTTGGAACGTCACTGCCATAAAAGAATCACCTCATAAGCATTTCAGAGTTGTCTTCTAAGTGTCTTGTTTCTGTCAATGTAACAGCAACTTGCCAAGATCAGTTTTTCCGAAAAAATCACCTCATAATCATTTTTCAAGTAACAAGCATTTTTAAAGTAAACTAAAACTGCACAAAAAGAGTGTTAAGAAATTTACTAACTGAGAATTGTCCATGGACTACAGTATAGCCGTCATTCCTACCCATCTATTTCAAAATGCAATAAGGAGACATGATAGATTAATGTCCCATTCTTGAACTGCTTTTTGTAATGGGACTGTATATCATTTGTTCCCCACCTTAATGAACATATATAAGGTACTTACGATAAAACAAACATATATGGGGTACCACTTCCTTTGCAAAGCAGTCGGTTGGACCTCTAAAACATGGCACTCTGTTTGAGGTAAGCCTAATAGTTGTTCAGCCTCTACATGTACCCGTACTGCTACTAGCCGACCCATCACTAATTCTCTCAGACTACTTTTAGTTCCATCAGATGGTCTTTTCATTTTCAAAAGTGTCTTCCTTTAGAGGTTTTCCAAATATTCATTAATTTCCCTTGACTCTACGTTGTTACATTCTTGCATCCCTTTGTATCTCTATGTGTTTCAACGGATGTTGTGTTATCTATTCATACTCCATCCTCTACATCGGTATCCATCCTTTAAAGTCTGGCCGATTTGGTCCTTTGTTCAATAAAACCAAAATTCAGAGTGCAAGTCAAATAAAGAAACTATTTCCAAAGCAAAGAAGTGAGCATTATAGTTGTGTTATGATTAACAGACCAAGTGGCATTTTTTTTCTTGTACTTGTCTTTGGGTGAGATTAGTTTCTTGGGTCTTGTTTAAGAAACTATGGTATAACAGCTGTTTTGGCATTATACTTCTGTTAGTGGTTGACGTGCTCTTGAGAATTTGCCTTTGTTTCAACTTGGTTAACTTCAGTTTTACTCCTTATTAGCTACACAATGCAAAAGTGCACATGCAATTATGCTGATATAGTACTTATGAGATATTGCCATATAGCTTGAGAGTAATATGAAGTTGAGGGTGTCTTATATGTGTTTCCTGTGTTATCGTTAAAGGATGAAGAGGTTGGCCGAGATGAAAGAAGTTGCTAAGGTTGTGAGATTTGGATCAGTGATACCAATTTCTGGATCGGATTTTGTGCGTGAGGTTTCCCAAGCTCCAGAAGATATCTGGGTGGTTGTTCTTCTGTATAAGGATGGGTAAGTAATGCTTTCATCTCTTCATCACCGTAGCCAGCTTACATCGCGCTCTTGAGCTTCAAATATGTTTACGTCTAGATGGTACTCTTTTCTCTCTATTAGCTCCATGCCAGTCTTTCTGATAGCATTTTATGCTCTTTATAGATACTCAGGCTGCCAGATACTTTTGCAGTGCTTAGAAGAATTGGCAACAAAATACCCTGCAACCAAATTTGTCAAAATTATCTCTACAGATTGCATTCCGAACTATCCAGATTGTAATCTTCCAACTGTTTTGGTGTACAACAACAGTGCGTTGAAGTCAAATTATGTTGGGCTTCATAGTTTTGGTCGGAGATGCACACCCGAAGGTATGTTCCTCATTGTGGTTGTCCCATTGCTACCCAACTCTTTCTCTTTCTTTCTCTTTTTGCATGATTTAACGAAGTTGTTGACTTTCTGGCTCAACTTCCTTTTACTTCTCTTTCAAGTGGTAGTAATTTGCTGGATTCATTTACAGTGTTGTGCCCACTGCCATCTGCCTTCCTATGAATATTTTGTGTAGGATGTTCATTCAGACGCAATATGGGTATAATCCATAATATAACCATGGCTTGTACAATTAACAAAACTTTTCTTCTTTTCTGGGAATTTTCTCTTAAGATCTTGTATAATTGCTGTAAAGCTTGAGCAGGGCCTTTCTTTTATTTTCTCATTTGTTGTCATTGCAACATGGTCTATTTCTTCTTTTGTGGGAGTTGGTCCTGTGGCACCAAGAGGGGCTGTGGGTGGGTACTACTACTGAAATTAGGTGATACCTGCTCAAATTACTTCAAGAGCGTGTTGTAGGCTTGTAGCCATCAGCGTATCTCTCATGATACTCAAATATAACCACACCGACTATGCACCCAAGGGTGTGGCCTAGTGGTCAATAAGATATCTCAACATAGTTGTGACCTAAGTTGCTCGGACTAGTGTGGGGGACAAATCGTTCATGATCTAAATTTTAAGATTCCGGGGTATGGATCCACGTACCGATACAGGTGGCGGGATTCGGCTAAAAATAATTCAAATCTTTAAAATAGAATTATAGATATGTCTAAATTATGGGACATTATGTGAAAAACTTACAAGGTATTCCGAGAAGGAGAAGATATTGAAAAAGAGGAGAATCCAAGAAAGAGATAAAAGGAAAAGCACGACATAGAAATTTTATATAGAAGGTATTCCATTTTCTTCAACATCACCCTAGCTTTTGTTTTGTTCTCAAAACTCATTGTATCTGTCCTGATTTCTCCATCGATTTTAGTCAAAGTACCCGAAATCGGTTGACGAGATCCAGTACGGATCCCACACCCACGTCGTGTCGACACGGGTGCGGCACCGAACGTGAAGAATCAGAGCAACTTAGGTTGTGATCATGGGTTGATCTAGAAGTTGGAATTGTGCCCATTGACCTTCATAACCTTTTCATAGGTTTTGTCATTCTTTGGCAAGTTCTCTCCTGTTACCTCGATTTGCCTGCTAGTATTTGAAGAATTCCTTGAATTGTTGTAAGTCACATAGCAGTTAATCTTGTACATGCGAAACCTAACCAGTAATGTTAATGAATCATGTGATAGTATTTATGCCCTTGGAAAAACCGTGGATCGCAGCCCTCTTTCTAGAAAATGTCGATTGGTGCATCTAACCATTCTAAGCAAACCTTGATAGTCACTCTAGTTCTTTATGCTGTTAAGTTCAATAATCTCTTTGGAATTTTGAACTGGTGCTAAGTATTGTATTAACAATATGTTTGCTACTTTCTGCTGGCCCTGTTTGGGTGATGAAATGATTGATCTGCATTTTCCTTAATTTCAGGTGTTGCATTGACACTCTGCCAGTCAGATCCTGTTCTAAATGATGGGTGTAGCAGGCAGGAACAGTCCAGAGAAGCTGTGCTGGATGGAGTAAGGAAGAGGTTTCTCGAGAAGGTTGTGGCAGCGCATGAAGACGATGATGGATCTTCTAGTGATTAGTCCTGAAAATTTTATTTGCTTCTTTTGTAGCTTGATGGAATATGTATGCTTTCTAGTGATACTTCTGATACACCTCTGTTCTTTCATTTTCGGTTTTCCCTTGGTAAACTTCTGTAGGTTTAGGTTAGATTTGCTTAAAAAATGAATTTTGCTCTATAAGTTATTGATGTTTTTGAAAAATTACTTCTTTCAAATCCTTTGAACGCTGAGAAGGGTTTTGACAAGAAAAACATTTCTATGTTCGATTTGATATGAGTTGAACCTATTTTTCAACAGGGGGGAATTTTGCTCAAAAGCGCGCATATGTAGCGGCAACTTCCAGAGGCAGCTATTTCAATAACTTTGACAACATATTATTAAGAATTTGTGATATCATAGGTAGTTTCTTGTAAATCAAAAGACATGCACTAAATGAAAATCATAAAACTATGATCCTGTATTATCAAACTTTGTAACTTTAGCATATTCTTTGGAAGGATATATCATGATTCGTGTGGTCCCATTGATCTCTGCAGATAACCAATGAAAAGGAACTTTATTTTATAGAAATAACTCTACAACATCACTACTATTGATAAGAACAAGTGAAGAGCAGGATAGTTGATCAATTTGAAGGATTGGGATAAACTTTTAAAACAAGCAGTCCATCATATCTCAGTTGAATTAGTCATTCACTTGTCCATCCAAGTGAATCCTTAAAACACAGTTTGGACCATTTCCTTTTGTCTTAGCCGGCTAACCTCTTCTTATTCATGTCTTGTTTCTGCAAGAATTCTATCATATTATTGCAAATGACAGCTAATCTTTGTCAAAGTCTTCTTCACATGTGCTTGGACGGCCCTTCACAGTCTTTTCACAAATTACTCTCAAGTACATTTACATGCATCAAGTCTTTCCTCTCTTCTATATAAGCAGGCTAACTTATCAATCATATCATCCCACAATTAAACATCTTTCTTCTCCTGCTGAATCTGATAGCCGTAGTAAATTTTTGCTGTGTTAATGTGTTAGTTTTTGAGCCAAGTCCAATGCAAGATATCTGTGTGGCCGATCCTGCTAGCCTAGGTATTTCAAATCAGTGAATAGCGCGATAAGCATGTATTACATTTTTCTCTTATTTTTTAAAAAAATGAATGGTTTTATGAAATTTCTCACTGTATTTTTTCCATTGTTTCAGCCAGGGTAAACGGCTTTAGCTTGCAAAGATCCCAAGTCAGTTCAAGCAGAGAACTTTTTCTTCAGTGGCCTACATTTAGCTGGAAACACAACAAACCCTCTCCTCTTAATGTAGCTCAAATACCAGGACTGAACACTCTTGGTATTTCATTGGTTCGCGTAGACTATGCACAATGGGGAATCAACGCTCCTCACACTCACCCTAGAGCTACTGAGATACTCACTGTTCTTGAAGGTATGGTTTCATAACCTGATCAAGTCCTGAAAATCGCCTTATTACTAAGGTCCTTAAGAAAGGCTACGCGTTTGTATTTCCTATTGGACTTGTTCACTACCAACGCAATGTTGGAAAAGGAAATGCTGTTGCAATTGCAGCATTGAGTAGTCAGAATCCTGGTGTTATAACCATTGCTAACACAGTTTTCGGATCGGATCCAGCTATAGCAACAGATGTTCTTGCCAAGGCTTTTCAAGTGGATCCAGCTATAGCAACAGATGTTTATGAAGCTTGGAATCTTTGTTATTAATTTGTGTGCTATGTTAAAGGAGTGAATTTATATTTGTTTGTTTACTGTGTGATTCATGAAAATGTAATTCCAAGAGGATACATTTAGATCTATTTATTTATTCTAGAGTAATATGTTGTATTCTTTTATATATTCAGTTTAATGGAGTACTTAATTTCTTGAAAGTTAAAATTTTATTGGCAGGTGAATGGCCCAAACTTTTGTTTTAGACTAGTTTTAGGATATTAATGAGTATAAAATTTTTAAATTACGCAAATATTATTAAACCATGTAATTGAGTTATTGAATATAATTTTAAAAAATATAAACTGTGGAAATATTTAATACTGATCCTATTTAGCCAACTTAATAGGGGGGAAGAATTATGCCACACAAAAGTAATCTAATGCTTTATTATAACTTCAATGTATGAGTTATGCATTTATTTTAGTAGCTCAGAGTCGAATTTATAGTATGCTGACTTGTACTTAAATATAATGCAACAATACTATGTTCTTCATTGTCTTAGAAATATGAATTATATTTGCTCAAGTACCTAATATGAATTTCATCGTATTTCTGTTGGAACTCAAATTGAAAATACGAAAAATAAAAAGAGAGTTCATATTATTAAGTTTAGTTATCATACAAAGAATTTAATTGGATGGTACTATTCAAATCCACATAAATTTATTTCTAGATTGAAATAAAATAATTGTCATAAAAAATTTAAGGTAGAAAATTAATAAAGAAGGCAACTCAGTGCACTAAGCTCCCGCTATATACGGGGTTTGGGGAAGAGCCGGACCATAAGGGTTTATTGTATGCCGTCTTAAATAGAAAATTAGTACTATTATTTATTTTATTATAAACGTTCAACAATATTTAGATGATGAAATAATTTTTCTTAGACCCTTAGAATTAATAAAAAAGAAATAGTAAAACAAAATGTATCCTAATTGCACTGATTAATTTTTATCTTCCGATGAAGGCTTGACACATTCGAATTTAGCTACCACGGAAAGTTTAAAATCTTCTATTCCAATTCAAATTTAGTGTTATATTACTTGTTAATATGAACTATTCATATTTTTGAGCTGGAAATAAAATCCCTTTTTAATTAATTAAAAGGAAAAAAAGTTTCAAAAAGGTAAAATTGGTAAATTATGAATTTAGAATCCTAAATATTAGTTCATTTATATTTTTTAAATATTGGCATATCCAATTCAAATTCTTTTCTTTTTTTTTTTACTTTTTAAATTTTGAAGGATTTTTAACAAAAGAGGTTTACTTTGCTTTGGAAGTAGTTTTAATTTAGTTAATTTGTTACATGTAGGTTGAAGTCTAAATGTAAGGACTTTTACATAATTCAAATAAGAAAAAAATATAATAAGTAAAATTTTAGTTGATTTTAAAGTCCTTATAATTAGAAAAATAATTAAATGACTATTTTGTCTAGTGTGAAGTCATTTTTAAAGGGTATAAAAGGCGAACGACATTTCGTTAAAGCCCTTCGTACTTTTAATATAGTATTAGTTTTAGTGTACGTGCGTTGCACGTGTATTCTGCGCCTATCGATTAAAAAATATATGGAATATTGAATAAAAATAAAATATGTGTAATAGCAATTGATGTAGAGATAGATACAACGGTCATTTAAATGAAAAAAAATACTTTATCTAAAAATGCAAATGTACTGACAAAGTAAATTCTAGGGATAAATTCATGCTTAGAAGCACTTTGGCCATGCTTATCGGAAAATGTACTTTTTTTCAGCTTCTACTACTATTCGAAAGCACCAAATAGACTGGCCTACATATTTTGGATGTGAGCAATGTGGCGGGAATCGGCCTTTTTTAATTTGTCTAACTCAATTTAAAGTTTGATCGTCCAATTCGTAGAGGCGTCAAAAAGCCACTAAACAACCAAACTAAGTTATCTTAACGAATCCATTCTACGGGCTACTGTAGGTTCGATAACTTTGGGAAAAATGAAAGGAGAAATTAAAACACAAACCTAAAATTTGTGAATTCTAATCAACCTAAAACTGTGTGAATCTTCTTTTATAAGATTCAAGTATCATAGAATGTTGTGATATAACATACAATCTAAAAGAATACCACATACAAATACTACAAATAGGAGTGATGTA